ATTAAATGCATTAGTGATGTCAATAGGGTAAGTAAGATATTCATTACATTTTTAGCTTCTGTATTGGTTCTTTGGGAATATTTGTTTCGGATTTATATATATATTTCATTTTATTTTTGACTTATTCATATATTTGTCATTTTATGAACGTTGTGTATTTTTTATTATAGTCCTTAATTTTGATGATATTCTTTTAATAGTGGTAGAGAAATTTCCTAAAGTGCCAAAGTACATCCCACTTTTTTTATAACAAGCCTTTTGTCAATTTGATATACATTTTCTTTAGAATTTGGAGTATTTTTTATAGTTTTATGAAGGAAATATAGATCATAAAAGCATTTGAATATCATAAAACCGTCGTAAGATGTATTAGGTTCCGAAGAATTTAATGTATCCTGAAAACTTAGACTATTAATACATTTTTTAATGTTTGAAGGTTTTCGCAGTTAAAATCTCTACTTTTTATTCTCCACTAGACTATACATGTATTTTTACAGGACATTTTAAAATTTGCGCCATATGATCTGAAAGGCCTAGTTCAAGGACTTGACTGTTTGATCCTCTTATATTATGTGCAAAATTTTCTATACACGTTCCACTTGCAACTTTAGGCGACATTCTTATTGCTAGCTTTAGATTGTATCCTAAAGTAGAAATTTAAATTCTCGACTAACAGAAGAATTCTTCAGAATAACAATGTCAAAATCGCCGCAGATAATCATATGCTTCTAAAGTATCATAGAACGTTTCATGGCGAGATTTATTTTTGTTAGTAACTCTATAAATATATATCACAATAATATTATGGTCACATATTTTTACAGCATAAGTTTCAGTCAAACATTCAATCGAGATAGTGATTAAGCTTAGCAATTTTGTACCATTTACAAAATGAGCCGGAACATTTTTATTTACGTGGTAGGGTTATGCTGCAGCTATATGTATTATGTCTGCAACAAAAATGGATCGGCTTGAACGGTACTGGACCCCGCGCTGTCTAAATCATTTTTTTAAGCTGTTTTGATTTTTTTTTGTATTAATGAAAATGTCACTTACTACTGTTTTCAAAAGTTTTTACTATCGTACTGGAAATATATTACTTTGTCACTTTCTTCTTAAGACTTAATTTTTTTACCTCGTTCCTGTAACTCAATGAGCAACTTCGCCATTACTTAAAGACTAGTAATTTACTTATTTTAAGATTCCGGTCCACCTCTTCCCAACTCCACTATGTTGAAAGTTGTTCATTTATACCAAAATAATTATTAATTAATTCTTAATTCAAGCAATTTCATCCAAGCAATCACAAAAACTTTAAGCTCCGCTTATATAATCACTTATAGTATTTTTTTTCATCTGTTTAACGAGGCAACAGAAGAAATCTGAAACGGCAGAAGAAAATCAGAATCTTCCCGATAAATGTGCAAAATAATAAAAGACGGCGGTTATTAAACCTCCGGCGAAAAGTGACAATTATGGCAAAAACTCCTTTATAAGGCAATCTATTGGAGAGGCCAATTTTCAAATGTGGACTTTTTTTATAGAATAAGGGTAACAAACGAGCACACAGTCCACCTGATGGTAAGTGGATGCTGTGGCTCGTAGACATTTACATTAATCCTCGATTAAGAATCAAAACGTAAATGCGTTGGACTAGGATGGAATGCTTCATTTCCAGTAAAAAGGGTCTGCGGATAGCTACACTCACGATACGAAACACAGCAGTATTAAGCTACTATTTTACATACGCTGGTGTTCTGTGAGAGCGTGGTGTCGTCCCGGTCGAGCCGACTTATTCGTGCTACAAACATAATATAGCTGCAGTGTGGCTCTTCCACGAAAAACCTTTGAATTTATTGGATGTGGAATATAAGGTCGGTTATGACTTTTGCGTCATACGTATACAGATAAAATTTGAAACCCACTGGATCCCAAGGCACCATAATTTACGCTTACTTAGTTTAAGCCATATATAAACATAATTTCCTTATTTCCAATCTGACTTTCGAAAAAGTTGCTAAGAATTTTGTGTTACTAAGAATTTGTATTAGTCATAGATTGTAGACATTTGCTAAACTCAAGCTCGAGAATATAATGTTTGATGATACTGAATAATCAAATAAATAAAGGTAACTAAAATATTATAAAATTTTATTACTGGAATACTACAGGTAAACTATTAGTAATCCAGCTACAATTTTCTATAACTAAAATGGCCATACAAACCTACTAATAAACAGTCAATTCACACAGGTATTGAAACAATCATGTTTTGTATCAGCTCTCAGAATACGAGGCACACATCTACCTCGAGAACCGGCAAATGTGGTGTCAATATAGAAACTATTCTTATAATTGCTTTAGAATGGAAAATAATGATTTTTATACAATATAGATTATTGCATGATATTTATTGAGAGTCATTTTTTATCACTAGATCGTAATATACCTCTGTCCTGGGAAGGACTAGCAAGAAATCCACCGTGACTTTTTAAGCATACTTTACTTTACAATAATATTGTTTGTACAGTTTTTAAATTTATTTTAATAGAATTTGCAATCATCTCATTCTGGGGTATCTTATTTAATTATGTATGCTATATATTACAATAGCCCTTTTGTATAATTTTTAATAATATATTTAATAAAAATAATGTTTAACCTATTGAATGTCAATCAACAAAAAACATTTAAACTTGTTTATTAACAAATTTTGTACATTTTCTGGGATTTGGTTGTAAAAGCGTATACATTGCCCCATAAATTATTTACTAGTTCTGTGCAGTCTAGTAACTGGTTTTACAAGCTTATGTTTGTTCCTAATAATTTTTTATTCTTGTTGAAGCTATTTATGTGTTTGTGTACATACTCATTTTCATAAATATATTGCGATTCTAAATTTTTTTTCTAAAGTACTCTTTATAATTTAAGTTATAAATTGCCCGTATAGGGCTCTCTTTTGTAAAACAAATATGGCTTCAATGTCAGTCGCATTACCCCATAGCAAAATTCCATAAGACATAACACTATGAAAGAAACTCAAATAAACTAATCTAGCTGCCTAAACATTGCAGAGATTTCTAATGTTTCTTACAACATATGCTGTAGAACTAAGTCTGCCTGCTAATGTAGATATACGGGGGCTCCATTGAAGCTTCGCGTCAACAGTAATATAAAAAAAACAATGGCGGCCACAAGACTCAAATAATCCCCATTTAATATACAATCTCATTCCGTTGTCTTAATCAGTATAAATGTGACACAAATGAAGAGGGTTGTGCCAGGTTATTTATATAAAAATAAAATCTATCTATGCCGTATAGCGAAATTAAAGTACGTTTATTGTATATTAAACATGATTTTAAATATTAAAACTATCTTCTCTTAATACCTATATGGTAAGTAAATTATATCTTTAGAAAGTAGTGACGAAGTACGAGTATAATAGATGATCAAACGAACGTCCGTTACGTGAAGTTCGATCGTTATTACATAAGTCGCTTCATTCAAAGATAAAAAACCCTGCAATATCTTGCGTTCCTAAATTAAAGAAAGAAAACGTTATGATCACATCTCTGAAATAAATATACAAATATCAAGACGACAGCATAGAAAGTGGCAAACCGGAAGTTAACCTTCAATTATTCAAAGATTTTTTTAAACATGTGAAGTTATCGAGTAAATTAGTAAGAAGTACTAGGAAGATAGTAAAAGGTAGAAGATAGTTATGTAGCGACTGGTATAATAATGATTGTAAAGTCGTTTGATCATATATTATAATAAGTTTCTATAATTTAAATAATTATATCAAAAAGCTTTTGACCAAATCGCCAGTGAGTTATAAAAAGGTTGTTCTATTTAGATAATTTGGGAACATCTTAATTATGAACTCTTGGTGTGTAGGGATTCCACTTCGGTATGCAATACTGAAAAATTGATTTAGAATTTCGAAAAAAGAGAAGTTTTAACAAATCTTACAATAGAGCTTTCTTCGTAATATGCATAAATTTTTAAGATGTAATACTTTTTCACCTACAAGTCTACTACAGCCCATAAAACCTGTTGAATATAGTACTTCCCCTTATACTGCCTTATAAGGGATTTTAGCATAATATTTCTTGCCATGATAAAAAAAAAACTTGAACCTAAATTATTATACAACCCTACTCCCCGCGGTAGTTCCAAGAACGTAGACTGTGTTTACTAACTGAATGGCTAAGCCTAGCGTTTGAGCGAAATTTACCAGCTTTCTTTTGTCCTTATTTCTTAAATATTATAACATTGTATTATCACAGTATTACGTAACATTCTAGGTAAATATAATAACACCAGTTGCCCTACATATGCCTATCCGCTTAAGTAGTCACCGTTCTAAGTAAGCATTGCGTCATGGAAAACAGTTTAACATTTACAAACATCCTCACAGTACAAACCATCGTTAAGGATCTTGTTTATATAGGATGCTTAGTTTGTGGATTCACATTCTGGTAAAGGGATAGTTCGCATGAGTACACAAATAAAGGCAACGCTGAGTGTTACTTCGTCAGCGAAACGCCAAAAAAGCCAATTGGGAACATGATGTTATAAAGAGAAGTTACATTAAAATTTGATGTACCTAAGAGAAACATGAAATTTGCTTACTCATTCATCGTCATCATCATTACAGTCAAAATTCTACTGTTGAAAAAAGATACGCCATAGATTGCCTCATACGTATAATTGCAACAGTTGCCACGTTTACCACCATAGTTTTTTTATTATTTTGATATGTACCAGGAAGATGCTACAGCCCATTTCCTGTTTCATTTTACCCTAACGCCACGAGCACGAAACCTATGGGATGATAAGGGACAGTGAATTTTCTTACGCCGCCACTGCGCACCACTTCTTTTTAAGCGTAGTTTAACTTAATAAGAAATATAGAAAACATTATTTAACATCACAAAAAAAAAACAAATTGAGATAAAGAAAAACATACACCGCTTTTGGTTAAAATTTACCTTCCGGAACGGCTAGTGATGTCAGCAAGAAATGAACACATGCTGCTCCGGTTCCATGCCCCAGGAGAGTAACGTTGGTGGGGTCACCGCCGAACACTGCCACATTTTCTTTGATCCAATGAAGAGCTGCTATCTGGTCCATTAGGCCATAGTTAGCTGGCGACCGTGGAAAGTCGTCAGATCGTGGATTAAGGAAACCTGTCAAAAATAAAAAAAATCTGTAGTCTGTTTATATGGAAATGTTAAACATAAATGTTAGTGTAGTAACAAATTAGGAGAATACTCTAGAAAATGACACATCGTGTTACCTGGTGGGTAGTAAGTGGATGGCTCCATGGCGCAGTGGCTTAGCAGAAAGTTGCAACGCTGCGGTTTCGAAAGTATTTGTATTGCATACAAATAAATATTCTGGGTCTGGATGTTAGTTCTTGTTAAATTTATGTTTATAAACTGCCTCCGCGATACAGGTACATAAAGTACTAATGTGGGGTAACTTTTTTTAATAAGTATAATATATTGTATATATAAGTCTTCAAAAATTTTAATGGCTCCATAGAGCAGTGGCTTAACAATGAGCTACAGCGCTGAGAACATAACAGGAATGAAACATGTATTTTCACAATAAAAAAAACTCCTTTACTTTTTGTCGAAATGCGGATTATACGGCACGTATTGAACCTTTTTCGGGATAGACTGCTTATAAATATTAGTTGATACTAATTTTTTAATCTCTTATCAGCTTTCTACGATTACTCCGTAACATCATGAAGCTTCTCTTTTAAGTATAACTTTAGCGTAAATTAGATATCTGTGTTTTATAAAATGTTCTAATTAAAATGAAATACTGAATGCTTAATACACACCAGTTAGTTTCGAAAGGAAAATTTTGTAGCAGGAAATTGAATTGATTTATTCTCGCCCAATATTATTATGCCTATTTGTGTTTTGCAAAAACAATATACGCAATGACTATCAAGGTCGAGTATATCATTGACAAAATATCCTCAATAACGTTCAAACAGAAACATTTGATTAATTACAGCCGAATTTCAATCACTTGTAAAAATAAAAGCGTTGTTAGAATTAATATAATTTCAGCATCAAAACGCTATTTCCATAATATTTTTTGGAGTGAATTTTGTTATTCTCGGCTCCTGTATCATAATTTTAGTGTTGATATCTTGCTGGTTTTACGTACACACACTTATGTATATCTCGTGGCAGTTGTTGTCTTACCTCATAGTAGCCTACTTGTGATTCAGATCACGGAAGCTGTATTCTACACGCAATATGTCATAGGATATGGAAATTAGATTTTTCTTTGGCAAAACATAGAAGCTCTATTTTTATAACGTCAGCTCTAATCACAGACTTGTAGTTTTTTTTATTAATTATTTCTAACATTACTAGGTTGGCCATCTCCGTGTCTGTTTGAACAAATACTACTACTCGCTCGCGTCCGTAGGCTTCGACCACCTAACCTTAGGCCCACCCTACACGTGTCCCCCGGGTGGTGCTAAACGAGCGACAAAGCCGAAAAAATAGACCCGACTCCTCGCCTTATGGTAGCGGCGTAAAATCTACCACCACCCCTTGTTCGCACCATGACTCAGGATATAAAAGAAATGGCCCCGAGTTCCCGGCGACCCTTTAATGGGGCAGGGTTGCGAAGAATCTCCGGGAGAAAAACCGGCGACGAGGTTCGCCACCCATCACGTTCTGTCTCCCGGAGGGGCGAAAAGTGGATTGCGGAAACCCGTCTGGCTACGCTGAATGTATGTGGAGCAATGAATGATAAGCTGGATGAAGTATGCGAAATGATGAATGAGAGAGGAATAGATGTGTTATGTGTGAATGAGACGAAACGAAAGGGAAAGGATGCCACTGCACATGGCACGTATACCGCGTACTGGTCTGATGTAGGTGAGACCGAACGGGCTGCCAGGGAGTCGGTTTCATCCTTTCAGAAAGAATGGGTCAATGTGTGAAAGAGTATGAATGTGTAAGCCCGAGGCTGCTATGGATATGAATGAAAGTAGGCTTAAAGAAGCTGTTCCTGCTAGGGGTGTACGCCCCCGACATGTCTAAGCCCACTTACATCCGAGACCAGTTTTGGGACATGGTAAGGATGGTGTTGACAAAATGTAAGGAAAATGAAAATATTATTATGTTAGGAGACTTTAATGGAGGTGTTGGGGTGAAGAGGTCTAGTTATGAAAGGATATTGGGAACGTTTGGTGATGAAAGTATAAATGAGAATGGTGAAGACCTCCTAACCGTATGTGTGGAAAAGAATCTTTTCGTGACGAATACTTTTTTTCGTCATAAGAAGATTCACATGTATACATGGAAAAGAGGTGATAATAGAAGCATGATAAATTTCGTAATTGTGGATGAAAGAATGTGGAGCGCAGTCGTAGATACAAGGGTTTACCGCGGGTCCAACGTAGGGACGGATCATTACTTGGTCTTATGTCGAATTAATGGTCTTTTCAAGCGTTGGCGGCATCAGACATCTGTGTCTACCACTGCGTTACAGCGTATAAGAATAGAGAAGTTACAAGATGAAGATGTGAAAGAGAAGTATAAATGTAGACTGAAAGATTTTAGATATTAGGTGTTTAAATGAGTTTTGTACGAATGATTTAGACTTAAATACTGTGTGGGATAATATTAAGAAAGGTTTGGTGGATGCCGCCACCGAATTATGTGGTGTAAGTAAGAGAATAAATGAAAGGAAAAGTAATACGTTGTGGTGGGATGATGACGTACGGGTGGAAGTTCAATCAAAGAAGAAAGCATGGTTAGATTTACTAGCAAACAAAGCTGGTAATTCTTCTGGTATGAATGATGAGATTGAAAGAAAAAAGGCAGAATTTAGACGAGACGAGACTAAATAAGAGAGTAAAAGAAGTTGTTGAAAGGAAAAAGAAAGAAAGATCGGATAAGAATGATAGAAAGATATCTGATAATTTTCAGGCTAACATAAAAATGTTCTGGAAACTCGTAAGAACTGCCAGGGGAAATACAAAACAGCCTATAATAAATGCTATAAGAGACGGGAATGGATGTATTCTGAACGATGAAGTTTCGAATTTAAAAAGATGGAAGGAATACTTTGAAAGCGTGTTTATGAGTGAAGAGTCGTCTGAATTAAATGAACTAGAAATTCCTAAAGAAGTCGAAAGGGGTATGGAGATAAGTGTAGATGAAATAATGAAAGCAATGAAAAGCATGAAAGCAGATAAGGCAGCTGGATATGATAGAGTATCACTCGAGATGCTAGGGACTGGAGAGGGAGTGGTGGCAGGCCTGCTGTACACCTCGTTTAATTTATGTTGGGAATTAAAACGGGTACCGGATGACTGGTGTAAAGCAGTTATAGTACCAATATATAAAGGAAAAGGGTCACCGCAGGACTGCAAAAACTACCGTGGTATCTTAGCTTGCTTAGTATTGTGAGTAAACTGTATGCTAAGGTGTTAATTGAAAGAGTTATGAAAGAAACTGATGGAAAAATTTGGGATATGCAAGCGGGTTTTAGAAAGGGAATGGGGTGTACAGATCAAGTCTTTTCCATGCGCATGATTGCGGAGAAGTTTTTGGCCAAAAACCAAAAAGTTCTTTGTGCGTTCATGGACTTGGAAAAGGCTTATGATAGAGTGGACAGGAATCTGTTATGGCAAACACTGAACTCATACGGGATGAGCGCTGGTTTGATACAGGCATTAAGGTCTCTTTATAGGGAATCTAGTGCTTGTGTCAGGATCAATGGGGTCTACTCGGACTGGTTTGGCATCCAAAAAGGTGTCAGACAGGGCTGTGTAGCTTCCTCTTGGCTGTTCAACCTATTTATGGACAGGTGTTTGCAAACTTTGAAAGATGAAGAATGTGAGTTAAGAATGGGCGAGTTAACCATCAAATGCCTTTTGTATGCCGATGATCAAGTCATATTTGCGTCATCGGCGGCTGAATTGCAATTGATGGTTACATTAATGAACTGGGAATTAAAAGAAAGGGGAATGAAAGTGAACGCAAGTAAAACGAAAGTGATGGTTTTTGAAAAAGAAGAAAGCAAAACGGTATGTGAAATAAGAATAGAAGGAGAGTTAATTGAGCAAGTGGATGAGTTTGTGTATTTGGGATGTGTATTTAGCAGGTATGGTAGATATGATAGGGATATAGAACGACGAGTAAATGCAGATAATAGAGTGAATGGGGACTACACTCTATAATGAAGAACCAGAATGTGTCAAAAAAGGCACGTATGGTAATTCATAATGCTGTGTTAGTCCCTACTTTAATGTATGGTAGTGAAAGCTGGGTGTGGCAGAAGAAGCACGAAATTAGAATAAATGCTGTAGAAATGCGGTCTTTAAGGAATATTCTACGGATGAATCTGAATGACAGGGTGAGAAATTGCGTGATAAGAGATAAATGTGGTATGCAAGATGATGTTGTGACCAGAATTAAGAAAGGAATGCTTCGGTGGTTTGGTCATGTAGAAAGAATGAATGAGAAAAGAGTGACAAAGCAAATTTATATGGCAGATGTGAACGGCCGCGTCGGGAAGGGGCGCCCTAGAAAAAAGTTTATCGACCAAATTGGCGATATTTTGAAAATGGGCCACGTTAGAAGTACCCTTAACCGACGAGCATGTATGCGTAGATATATGGATGTAAAGGAGGCGAAAAAAGGTATGTCAGGATCGTGCCAAATGGAAGTCCGTAGTCTCTGCCTACCCATCTGGGTGACAGGCGTGAGTGTTTATATATATATATATATATATATATATATATATATATATATATATATATATATATATATATATATATATTACACGCTGTGAATTACATCCCAGTTTTATTGGCAAGTGTAAATAAGAGGCGTGTTGATTTGTCTAAGATTTTAATTAGACTTATTCTGAAATAAACTCTTCTATATAATTATGTCGTGTGGGCTATATTAAAATAACTTATCAAGCTGGTGGTTCTTTAAAAGTTCGAAATGATGAAAGACATCTTAAAAAACAAACAAACAAAGTTAACTCAATTAAGAGAATCAAAATTTAAAAATCAAATAAAGAATTAATAAAATTAAGAGCATACTCTTAAGAGACGAATTTAAATAAAAACAAAATAAAACCAGGAGTCTCGAATTCGTAATCTCAACCGAACAGGTGCAAGAACAGATAACAG